GGGGTGTCTGCTAAAGCTAAAAGTCTATCTATACTAATAATAGACAAATATGTAAATTGGCCATCCCTCCCCAATGCCCACAGCCAATGAGGAGTGAGTATGCAAATTAACCTAACAAAGATGTCAGGTGCCAAGTGGCTGGGGGTAGGGTGGGCATTCCCCTCTGCACCCTAGCCACTCTGGGCCTACACGCACAGAGCTGAGCAGCCAGGGGCGGGGTGCAATGCCCACCCACCAGGGTCCTGTCAGCCAGGCCTGGGGCTAGCTGATGTTCCCAGTCCTTTTGGTTTCTGCAGTCCCTGGACCAGAAGTGGAAACCAAGAAAATGGGGAGTACCAAGAAATCTGGGAATCATAGTTCTGATGGCAGCCGCTGGAAGGGAAGTGGAAGCCCAGAGCACAGGGAGCACCAAGGATGCTGGGAATTGTAGTTCTGGTGGCAGACACATTGTGGGATCTCCTAGACACCAGAGTAAAGTGAGCCTGGATCAAGTTACTGTTTCGGGTGGGGAGTAGAGGGAAAGCAAAGGTGAAAGACATAAGTAAAGTCAGAATGCCAAGGAAAAGTTAAAAGGAAGCTATCCTGCAACTTCTAGGAAATCTCCACCAATGGAGCAAAGAAAAAAAAAAAGACCTCTATTATTCTGTGAGCACCAAACCAAAACTGGGTTGGTGTCTCAGACAATTCACGCATATGATTGCAAAGACAGACAGAAACTCCCGGATTGGAGAGGGCTCCCCTGAGGGCTCCCAGATTAGATAGGGTGCAGGTCAGGCTGAGGGACCCACCACCTGTGCACAAATTTTGTGCACTAAACCCCTAGTTATATAATAAAGTAGGTTTTCTGAATGTGTATATTCAGAAATTGGCAAATTAGCTTACCTGTTTTTACTTATGTAGATATGTTTATGTAATTTAATTAAGTATGTATGAAAAATTTAATTTCATGGAAAAGTTTCTATATGTATTACAGTCATTTTAAATGTATACTGAATAGATGTAGAAAATGCATGCATTCGCCAGTCTCCATTAGTAAACAAATGCACACAGTTGGAGCATGGCTTAGCGCATGTAGGAACGTCTGCCTGCACATGTTAAAACTGCTACAGAGCCCCAGCCAGTGTGACTAGGTGGCTAGAGTATTGGCCAATTCCAGTCAAGGAAAAGTACCTGGGTGGCACACTCCACCTCAGAACACATGTGGGAGGCAACCAACAGGGGTGTGTGTGTGTGAGTGTGCGTGTGTGTATGTTTGTGTCTGTCTGTCTCTTCCCTTCCTTTCTACTCTAAAAATCAATGGAAAAATGCCCTCAGGTGAGGATTAACAACAACAAAAATTGCTGTAGAAAGTCACACCATGAAACAACAAAATCAATTACCGCATATAATGTGATGTGATCACATACTAATCATTTGCTGGACATTGGTTAGGAGCGGTGACTCTTGGATTTAAATATGTAGATTATAGTTGTAAGTATGTAAAATTTATTTATATCAGTGAGATTACTAGTGATTTTTTCCCCAACACATTGCCTATTTGCTAAAATTTGTTTAAAATAACACTGAAGCCCTGGCCATTGTTGCTCAGTGGTTGAGTGTCAGCCCAAATATTGAAGGGTTGAGGGTTCGATCCTGGCTTCAATCCTTGGCCTTGGTTTGGAGAAGTGTGGGAGGTAATTGATAGATGTGTCTCTCTCACATTGACATTTCTCTCTCTTCCACTCTTTCTAAAAATCAATGGAAAATACCTTTGGGCGAGGATTAACAAAAATAAATAACAGTGAATTGATAACAAAAATAATCTGTTAATTTAATTATAAGCAAATCTCGATTAAAAAGCATTTAAAAATTACCTGGCTTGTGTGGCTCAGTGATTGAGCATCGACCTATAAACTAGGAGATCATGGTTCAATTCTAGTCAAACCACATGCCCAGGTTTTGAGCTTGGTCCCCAGTGGGTGGGGGAATGCAGGAGACAGCCAATCAGTGATTCTTTGTCATCATTGATATTTCTATCTCTCCCTCTCCCTTCCTCTCTGAAATCAATAAAAAAAAAAAAAATCCTATATAATAGAAGACTAATATGCAAACAGACCAAATGGTGGAACAACCAAACAACTGGTCACTATGACATACGCTGGCCACTAGGGAGCATGCACGGAACGTGGCAGGCATCAGCAGCAGGTGGCAGAGCATTGGAACATGGTGGGCGTTGGCTGCAGCAGGGCGGTGGAACAGGTGAGAGGGGGGCGCCAGAACAAGGCAGGGCACCAGTCACTGACATCATGGTGAGCATTTGGTGGTTACTAAAATTTCGTTGCTCCCATGTGCCGGCGATCACTGGGCGCCATCAGCAGGTGTGAGCAGTGGCTGCGAGCCCTGAATCACCCGAGGGCTTCTCCACTTCCCCCTGCTTCTGAGGGACAATCAGGGCAGCAGCTACTGCTCGCACCCACTGCCGGCACTGGCCCCAATTGAAAAAGCATATTCTAGAATGAGGATTAAAATAAATTAATTAATAAAATAAAATACCATAAAACAATACTACTCAGCAATAGAAAAGATGCTACAAGAACATATAAAAGAGAATCTAGCTGAATCTCAGCATAAGCCACCATCATCTGTTACCAGGATTTCGACCAGGACCATGACCAGCTCCCTCACAGCTACTCAATCCTAGTTTGGTAGAGATCTAAAGTTGACTCTGGATACGCTGGATTTGAAATTCTGGGAGACATCCAAATGACAGTGTCTACTAGGCAGGTGGAAGCTCACAGAAGCCCAGTATCTACTAGGCAGGAGGACGCTCACAGAACCTCACAATGAAGATTCAAAACTGAGTGTTATGAAAATGGTAACTGATGCTCTGGAAATGGATGAGTATAGTAAAAAACTTAGAACCAAGTTGTAAGGAGCTCCAACATTTAGAAGATGTAGAGGCAAAGGGATTAAGATGTGATCAAAGAAAAGGCAGGGAAACCAGAGGAACATAAAGTATCAGAATTCATGGAAAGAATTCAAAATGGATGGAGAAATTGTTGAATGCTAGTAAAATAATAATAAAATATCGACAAAGAATAGATCCTATTGAAAAATAGGGATGCTAACCAGATTAGAGTAGACTAAACAGTGACTAAGAAATAAGGAAGTGGAGAAAGTGATTATACATTTAGGCAATGGGCTCAACTTCCTAGCATAACTAGCTGGGTTATAATGATAAAGAGAGAAAACTGAACTTGAAGAGATTGCAAAAGATACTGCTTTTGTGAAATTTCAGCCTTTGAATTCAGCTTGAGAGGTTGCATTTCCTTTTCCTGTGACATAGGTGAGCATCATGAATCATGAGTTCACAAGTTTCCTTTATTGTGTTACCTTCATAACTACCATAAACATGGAGAAGGGGTTTGATGGGGGCCTTCAGCATAGTTATACATGAGAGTGACATGAGAAAGGCATGAGGTGGGGAAGAACAGGCAGGAATAAAGAAGCAGTTCTACTCCTCAACATCAATTTTTCAGTAAATTTTCACTTTGCATTTAAATTCAGACCCTCATGAATATTTATGGAAAATCATAAAAGCAAAATGACACAAATAAATTTAGTAGCAAGCAACAGAGAATGGTCTCTTCCTTAGTTCCCCTGTTTATCTGGGAAGTGCATGTCTGTGCTGAGGGAAGGAAATTAATGAAAAGATAGAACTCCTTAGTTCTAGAGGAGAAGAGACCTGAAGAGAAAGAAAAGTTAACTATTAAGATACCTGGACAGAGATTCTAGGCCAAAAAATGAATGAATGGGCAAGCAATAGGAAATAAGTATGTCCTTGAGAAAGAATTAAGATTCTGTGAGTAGGGATCAGGCCACAGATGGCAAAACAGAGACCCATTCCTTAGGTCAAAAAGGAAACATGTTCTGACTCTTTGTTTCCTCAGGCATGTGTTTCAGTGGTAGCTAGGTAGCTATACAGGTGGATACAGTGAGAAGAGAACAGGTGGTTCAGAGGTTGGCCCAGTACACGGAGAGAGAATGTGTGGTGAAAAGGAATGGAACCTGACTTCCATTCCCCTAGAAATGCCACACAGGCACCTTGGGCCCACTGCATCACTGACACTTTCCCAAATCAGATGGCAGGTCTGTGTCCTCAACCTCTGAATATTTTATCAAGTGACTCACTCTCTCCAAAGCTGTCCAACAGGCTTCAAAGGAGGGAGCACTTCCACCTAAGAGCATCTACGAAGTGCTAAGCACTGGCCCAAATGCTTTACATGTGCTACTTCACTGACTCCTCACAGAAATCCTGGTATTCCTGAACTCACTTGACTGAAATGGAAACTAATGTCCAGAAAATTGATCTGCCCCAAAGTCACAATGAATTGTCCGCTTGTGAGTTGGACTGGGAGACCACGAGTTTGATCACTCGCTATGATGTGCACTGACCACCAGGGGGCAGCATGGAATGAAGGAAGACCCTTGCTGGCAGCAGGCAGCAGGGGAAGGGAGGCCCCGACTAGCAGCCAGAGGCCCCCCGATCAGCGCTAATCACTGGCCAGGCCGAGGGACACTACTCATGTGCGAATTTCATGCACCAGGCTTCTAGTTGGAGTATAAAAGGAAGCAGAAATCCTCTTTTCTGAGGATGAGTAGAATTACAGGAGAAATTGCTTAGAAAAAAGAAGAAACTCTGATTTGGGAAATGGGAAAAATGCCTAGGACTGAAGACAAATTCAGGAATTGGGTTTGGAAGTCTGAGTGAGGGTGAGATGAAAGATGCAGGCGCCTTTTCCTTTGGGTTGGAGAGGAGACAGTGCTCAATTACTGACCTTCCTCTCTCTGGTCACATGACTTGTGCTGGTATAAAAGCTTTCTAGCAGCCAGGTTCCTTACAATATTTTCCTGTGTGAAATGGGCGGTAGCAGTGGCTGAAGCTCTGTTTCTCCTTCCCAGCAGCTTTTAGACTTTCTTTTCCAAGAAGCCATCAATCCGGAACGAAGACAAGGCAAGGCAGCTAACTTAGTGCTTGAGCTCTGGGAAGTGATAGCAGGATCAAACTTGGGAGGAGATGGTATTGAGCTGGAGTAGATCTGTCAGAATTGAATATAAGGAGACAGGAGCCAGTGACGGGACAAGGAAACAGGCCTGGGACATCAAGCCTGGAAGAGGATGGAGGGGCCAGACTGTGTGGGTGGTGAGGGTCACAACCATGTGGAAACTGAATTACCCCTGTAAGAAGAGTTCTTCTATTTACAGTCAAAACTCCAGGCTCATGAGTCAGTGACTGCCTGCAGGTTTTCCTGAATATTTTCTAACTTTCTGGGGGACAAGTCCCCCAAAATAGTGCTGGTTCACTGTTCCTCCTTCTTCCCCCACCCCCACACTTAACTAGCTTCCTTTTTTAGTACAGTCCCAGAGTCTGGTATTGACAGAGGAGGAAACAGTGGAGGAGAATCTGTGTTCTGCAAAAGGAGAGGAAAACGAGGTAGGGAGATGGGTTGGGGACTGGGCACCTGCTTCCTTGGTGTGTGGGTGGTTGTGTGGCAAATGAGCCCTGGGTGGGGACTGGAGCTCACAGCATTCTCTCTGTTGGAAGGCTTGCCTCTTCTCTCTGAAGATCTCTGACTGAGGAAAGGACTTAAGGAAAGTTGGAAACTGATATCAGTAACTTCCTGTATCTGTGAGGAGAGCAGGAGAAAGGCTGGGAAACCAGAGGGGAATTCCCTTGGGAAGCCAAGGGTTGGTCTCCCCCAGAGACACATGATGGCAAACGTAATAACTCGCAGTTAATATCCCGCCCCAGGCAAAGTCAATAATTGCTCTGGGCAGTTCTAGCAGGTGTTGTGAGCAAGCAGTGGTGGCAGCAGAAAGCCTGGGCCTAGGAAGGGGAGCTGCCCGAGAGAATGTCCTCATCCTGAACCTGCAGGCTGTGGGGACTCCTGACCCTGCCCTTTCTCCTCCTCTTCCAGAACAGTCATGCCAAACTTGAAGAGCTCCTTGATTCTCTCGGCCTACATCATCATCTTCCTCACTGGTCTTCCTGCAAACCTCCTGGCCCTGAGGGCCTTCATGGGTCGGGTCCGCCAGCCCCACCCTGCACCGGTCCACATCCTCCTGCTCAGCCTGACGCTGGCAGACCTTCTGCTGCTGCTGCTGCTGCCCTTCAAGATCATTGAGGCTGCATCTGACTTCCACTGGTACCTGCCTGAGATTGTCTGTGCCCTCACAGGATTCGGCTTCTACAGCAGCATCTACTGCAGCACGTGGCTCCTGGCAGGCATCAGCATCGAGCGCTACCTGGGAGTGGCTTTCCCCGTGCAGTACAAGCTGTCGCGCCGGCCTATGTATGGAGTGATTGCTGCTCTGGTCGCCTGGATCATGTCTTTTGGTCACTGCACCATCGTGATCATCGTTCAGTACTTGAACTCGACAGAGAGTGGCACAAATACAAATGAAATCACCTGCTATGAGAACTTCACTGATGACCAGCTGAAGGTGGTGATTCCTGTGCGGCTGGAGCTGTGCCTGGTCCTCTTCTTCATCCCCATGGGGGTAACCATCTTCTGCTACTGGCGCTTTGTGTGGATCATGCTCACCCAGCCCCATGTCGGGGTCCAGAGGAGGCGCCGGGCTGTGGGGCTGGCTGTTGTGACACTCCTCAATTTCTTGGTGTGCTTTGGGCCTTATAACGTGTCCCACCTGGTGGGGTTTTACACCAAGAAAAGTCCCAAATGGCGAGCAGAAGCTGTGGTATTCAGTTCCCTCAACGCCAGTCTGGACCCCCTGCTTTTCTACTTCTCTTCTTCAGATGTGCGCAGAACCGTTGGAAAGGGGCTTCAGATGCTGCGGAATCAGGGCTCCTCTCTGTTGGGACGCAGAGGCAGAGAGATAATGGAGATGACAAGTGGGAACAGGGGTGTGAGTCAAGCAGAAGGAGGACCGAGTTCTGACTTCACCACAGACTAGGGATGTGCCTGGACCTTCAGAGGTGCTGGGGGCTACATATGGGTTGAGCAGGCTGGGAGAGGGAGAGGATGAGGGTTCTGGATTCAGGAATCTTTAGACCAATCCGTTACTGAGACTATAGGAATCTCTCTCACCAGCTGGATATTTCTTCTTGATTGAATTTTTTTTAATCTGCATTATTAACTGGTACAATATAAATATATATTGATTTTCCACAGAGATGAAGGAAGAGGGATAGAGAGCTAGAAACGTCGATGAGAGAGAAACATCGACCAGCTGCCTCCTGCACACCCCCTGCCAGGGATGTGCCCGCAACCAATGTACATGCCCTTGACTGGAATTGAACCTGGGATCTTTCAGTCCGCAGACCGATGCTCTATCCACTGAGCCAAACCGGTTTCGGCTTGATTGAATTTTCCTTCCCAACAGAACACAGCTCCCTGATCAAAGAAGAAATGGTTAGGAATAGAAGTACTATCAGACCATGCTTTGAAAGCAGGGTGACTATTATGAATTCAGTCCTTGTGAGGTGGTCGGAAGTTGAGGATGATCAGACTGAAGCAGAGAATCCTAAAGCAATCTTGCTATAAGCTTTGACACCACACTTAGACTCTGGCCTTGCTGTTGATGCTATAAAGAAGCCAATAGGAAATAGATGGAAGAGAAATACTAAATGAGGTCAAAGGAGACTCAGGGAAGTTCTGGGCCAAGGGAACTTGGAGGAGGGGCTGAGGACTTGGTTGGGTCGCTAATGCTTAAGATTTCTAATGTAATTATCAGACCTGCTGCTTTGTAACTGTGCTCCCTCTGTCTTCATGTGTGTATGTTGTCTCCCCCATTAAACTGGGAACTTCTTGAGGTCTGGGTCTTGTCTTCTCCCTCCAAGGTACCCCACACAGGTCAGGATACAGCTGGGCACCCATCAGACAGAGCTCAGGACTGACTAGCACAGGGATAGACAGCCTGGTCTGGCAGATTGAAAATCCTCCTATATAATAAAAGCCTAATGTGCAAATAGACCAAATGGGGGAACAACTGAACAACTGGTTGCTATGATCACCAAGGAGGTGCGTGTGGAACATGGGCGGGCCTTGGCAGTGGCGGAATGGTAGAGCTGGTGAGCAGGGGCACCAGAACAGGTGGAGAACCTGTTGCTGTCATTGGAGTGAGCCTCTGGTGGTTACTGAAAATTCTTTGCTCCTGTGTGCCACAGTCCCACCCGATGCTCACACCTGCTGCCAGCACTGGAGCTGCTGCTCGCACCCACTGCTGGCACCCGGCACTGGTCCCGATCACTCAGTGCTGTCAGCAGGTTACAAAGCAGGTAATGGTATTATATGAGTTCCTGAGAGGAACTCATATAATACCATTTTATGAGTTTATGCTCCTGAGGGGCCATCACAGCAGCAGCCACTGCTCGCACCCGTTGCTGTCACCATCAGTATGTGGGAGAGGAGGCAGGAGCAGGGCTGCCAGCAGCAGATGGGGGTGGGGCTGTGGTGGGAGAGGCCAGGCTGGGGTGTGGAGGATGGGCCGAGACCAAACCCTGTTCCCACTGTAGCCTTGTGGCCCACAGTTCCTTTCAAGGTGCACAAATTTGTTAACTGGGCCCCTAGTAAAGACTCTGAAAGTGAGTGTCCAGTTTTTGTAACATTTCTGCAAGCAGAGAGAGGGCAAAAATGGGATAAAGAACCAGACTCAGAAGCAAAGGGGGAAGGTGATGAATCTGAAACCACAGAAACATTGTTGTTGTTAATGCTCACCCAACGCTATTTTTTTCTATTGCTTTTCAGAGTAAAAGCACGGGGAGGAGGGGAGTTAAGGGGGAGGAAGAGGAGAGAGAGAGAGAGAGAGAGAGAGAGAGAGAGAGAGAGAGAGAGAAATTGATTGGCTGCTTCCCACATACACCCCAAACAGGGGCAGTGAGCAAACCTGCAACTGAGGTACATGCCCTTTATCAGGAATCAACTCCATGACCCTTCAGTGCTTGAGCTGATGCTGCAAGCACTGAGCCACAGGGGCCACAGCCACAGGAACATTTTAAGGTAAAGATGTAATGAGAGTGTATTAATTGAGGGGACTGACATAATTCTGTTTAGATTGATGAGTAGAGACTGGATTTAGAAAAGGAATGTGTACTGAGTCCTGACTCAAAGTTATCAGCATCCACATGGGGCTTAAAACATACTACTCTCCTGTTTAGAGACCTGCAGGGTTTACTTATCATCAAAAGTTTCCTCTCAGGAACTCATATAATACCATTACCTGCTTTGGATCCTCTCCCCCTTCCCAATTTCATCTACCTAACTCATTTCTCCACAATAAGGACACCTAAACCACTCTATCTAGGTAACTGACCCTCCAGACACTATCCTAGTGGTTCACAACAGCGGCTATACATCAGAATTACATATAGAGATATATAAATAACACAAGTGGGCACCTAAAATCTATTGACTCAGAATCTCGGGGGGGGGGGCGGGGCGGGGCGTGGGGGAAGCAACAGGTAAGCTTTAAAAAGTTCCCCAGGTGATTATGTTAGACAGCTCAGTCAGGAATCACTGGCCTAGCTTGGGGGCCCAATATGTCAAAAATAATTACTCTTGGGACCTTTCCTGCTTATAAGGCCCCCTTACCTCAACCACATCTGCTGAGTGCTTCTTATAAAACCCCATATTTTACTTTCTTCAAAAAGACTTCCCCTATTACCTCCATCTAATTGAGAGCTCATTTTCTCTATTTTCTTTCCTCAAAACAGCACTGGACTGCTGTCATAAGAGCCCTGACTTCAGTGTTGGTTCTGCTTACTAGCTGCTTGACCTTGAGCAAGTCACACCTCCAGCCTCTATTTCCAAATCATAATAATGAAGGCAATGTATGACTCCCAGGGTAATTCTGAGGATTTAAATGAGACTGCATATATAAAATTGCTGAGAAATCATAGAGTACTAGAGGCCTGTTGCACGATGATTCATGCAATAGGCCTTCCTTCCCCTGGCTCCAGGCACTAGTTTTACTCTGGCACCCAGGACCCAGGGCTTCACTCCAGCCGCAACCAAGAAGCCAAGCCTCTTTAGTCTTCAGTCTTTGCTCCATGCCTGCATATGCAAATTATCCGTTATAATAATAAAATGGAATTGACTCACTCCATAAGTAACCGCTCCCCAGTCTCCAGAAATATCAAAGTAGAACATAGAAAACACCTGTCTTAGGACTTTGAGGAAACTCACACTTCTGGTAAGAACTGAACTAGTACTACCAAGCCCTTCCAACTTGAGATTTCTCAAAGTTCTAGGGACATGGCTGCTCCTGCTGATCAGAAAAGTGCAAGAAAATCTCTGGACCTGGTCTGAGATTTTCAAGGTGAAACTACCTACTCACTAACAAGTATTTGATCTTCATTAAGTCACTTGATATATATCCCATTAGCAGTTCTGGGAAATTAGTTATTCAATTATTCAACAAATATGAATTAATTATCTACTATAAGCTGAGATATACAGAAGCTGGAGAGGTAGAGTGTATGAGAGAGAAGCTGTCTAATCTTGGGGCTTCCATTCTAGTGGGAAAAAATAGTTAGTAAAATAGTAAACAAATGAACCACCAATGTAATTTCAGATTTGGCAAATGGTTTTTACAAAAAGATACTGGATACAGGAGAAAGTATTAGGAGGGATTTGAGAGGATTTAGAAGATTCTCTTGAGTCAGCGATGGTCAGTTGAGACCTGAATGAGAAGTTGCCCATTGGAAGGACATTCTATAAACAGGAAGTGCTGGTGCAAAGGCCCTGGGGAGGGGAAAAACCTTAGCATATCAAGGCCAAGGGGGCACCTAGAGTAGTAGTTTGCAAATGTAAGCATGTATTAGAAGCACATGGAGCATTTGCTGAAGCATGACTTAATCTTCCCTCCCCACAGGTTCAGAATACTTTGGTTTGGGATGGGAACCAAAAGTTTGTATTTCTAACAATCCCAGGTGATACCGATGCTGGTGGTTCGGAGACCACACTTGGAGAACTACTGGACCAGAATATTGTGAACTTGGGAAAATGAGTGATGGAAGATGATGTTAAGGAGGTCAGCAAACACCAGACCATGCCAAGGTTTTAGGCCACAGATGGGAATTTAAATTTATTCTAAGAGGTATTGAAGTCATTAGAGGGTTTTAAGTAAGAGAATGGAGTGATATGTTTCCATTTTAAGGTGACCATTCTGGTGTCTGTGCCTACCACTAAAAGTAGATGGTTGTTAGGTTAAGGAGATAATGTGCATGACAGCATTAAGAAACCATAAAGTGCTATTTCGAACATGCAGGGTTTTCATCAGGCTGGTAGCTCTGTCAAAGCAGAGCTGTTTCCTCTTTCATTAGAATACAAGTTATGTATCTACCTAATAAATAGATGTCCCCAGTGGCGTGCTAGAAAATGTTTCACAGCCAGCTCTTCAGATGGAAGGGAGTAGGGAGCAAGGGATTAGGAAAGGTCCTGAGTTGTTGCACTTGCCAATTTCTATGGCAGATACATTCCACCAGGGCCAATTTTTACCAGCATGAAGACACTGAATATGAATTTGGCAAGAAATGCTAATAATCAGCTCTTGCAAGCCAACTCAAGCCCATCACTAGATACACTCCCATCATATATGCTCAACTGGCAGACAGATCACATCCTACTTTGAAAGACTTTCTCTCTGTCTAGCGACATTTAGTACAAGGCTCTGGCACAATAAACACTAGCTACATGTGGCTGGCTGGGCCTGATCCAAGAGAATCCGGGTGGCTGGTTAGATTGCCGGACTCCTCTGAACCCCTTGCAGATGACATATGGGTAAACAGCAATATTAGTGTCTGGTTAATGAATAACACAGACAGCAGCCATAGAGCCACTGCCAGGAAACGGGGAGGGGGGGGGGGGTGCCGGCGGGGAGGGCGGTGGTGGAGGGATCGGGCTTAGTCTGACCTAGGAAAGGGGAACCTGCTTTAACTATCTCACTTCCTCTTTCTGTTGTACCCCTTCCTCAGAAATTCTCATCTGACCACAGAGTTCATGTGTAGTGTGGTTTTGTGGTGATCACTGTGGTGAGAAGGTAGGGGTGGGCCAGCCTGGAAAGGGTCTGAAGGAAAACACAGAGCCAAGATTCCAAATCCGCTCCCTTAAACCTTCCTGCCCCTTAGCTCCAGGTTTCTGCTCTCTCTCTCTCTCTCTCTCTCTCTCTCTCTCTCTCTCTCTCTCTCTCTCTCTCTCCCTCTCTCTCTCTCTCTTCAGCTTTCCCTGTGGTTACTTTGACACCCCCCCCTTTTTTTTTCTTTTCCTTGTTTTTCTCTAGTCACAGGAAATGACATTTCTCATCTACCAATTGCACATTCAACCAGGAAATTGGGCCAAAGGTCTCTAAGCTTTCAGAAGCAGTAGTCCAGTAACCTACCTGGCAAAGTTTCAAATGGCTGAAAAGGTAGAAGATGAGGATTTAGCTTTCCTCAATACATAAACATATGTACTCTCCCACTCTGTATCTTCCTAATATATACTCACATTATAATTGTGTTAGATGTTTACATTATTGTGACTATGTAAATAGGGAGCCTCTATAGTAAACTATAATTACTTTTTCTACCCTGTACAACTTTATCCCTACCACCCAAAATTAATAATTCTCTTAGTTTTTATTTACTTAGTTTTCTATATACTTATCTCTAATTCCTCCCCAAACTCTTTGCCAGTTGTTTTATTTCCTCTCAAGACCTTCAGAGGTATTAATAGTATACGGATTTCATCTTCCTAAAGAAATCTCTCCCAGAACCTTCTGACCTGCTTCTGGCCTGGTGGTAGCTTATGCCAGGTACATAGCTGGCCCCTGGACACTCATGGGAGGCCTTTTGCTTCGCTGTTCTTGTTTCTCTTCCTCGGTTTATGTTCTCTACCAACTTCTTTAGAAAGGATTTCAAGACTGTGAATAGCAGGAAATATCTTTATTCTGCCTTCATGTTTAATTCGTATTAGGCTATGTATGGAATTTTGGGTTAGAAATCATTTTCCTTCAGAATTTTCAAGGCATTGCCTTCTAGCTTCCAGTCTTGCTGAAAGTTTCCAATATATTCTGATTTTTTATTCCTTGTATGAGGCCTATATTTTTCTCATTGAAAGCTTGAATTGTCCTTACCTTTCTCACAAGTATTCTAAAGTCATCCATTGTGCTAGGCACTCGATGGACTCAATTAATATCCTTCAATTTGGAGACATTTTCTTAAAATATTTCGTTATTATTTTCTTTTCCTCATTTTCTCTTCTCTATTTCTAGGACTCCTATTATTTGGGGGCTATTGATCCATTAATCTCCCTTCTCTCCCATTTTCTACCTCTCAATCTTTTTGCTCTACTTTCTGTGAGATTTCCTTAAGCTTATATTCTAACCCTTCTATTTATTTTTTTCCTTTTTTCTATCACCTTTCATTTCTAAGCACTTTCTTTTATTATTGATCTTGTCTTATGGTTGTAATATCCATTTGGATCTCTTTAAAGAATGTTAATTTCCCTGCTCTGAGTTGTTTTTGTGTTTTTGGTTTTTTTGTTTGTTTGTTTGTTTTTGTTTGTTTCCACCTTCTATGTTACAAGTTGTTGTCAGATATCTGGTATTCCTTGACATCTGCTTATCTTGGCGAGAAGGAAGGGGACTAATCTTTTACATATATGTGCAGAGTTTGCTTTAAAGGTAGAAAAGAAAAAGGAAAGGAAAGGAAATATGGAACATCTCAATAACTATTGAACCATGGTAATGGATGAATTGGGTTCTATTGTACTATTATTCTTCCTACTTTTGATGTTGTTTGAAAATATTCACAATAAAAATGTGATTGATAGAGGATTCAATTCTTCGAGGCTGTGGGACTAAGGGCTTCAGTTTCTCACTGGCTGTGGGCTGGAGGTATCCATGTGAGTTTCTTACCGCGTGAGCTTCCCTAGGACAGCTGGCTTCCATTAGACCAAAAAAACAAGAGGGGACAAGATGAAGGCAGTCTTTTTATAAACCTAATCTTCAACGTGATCTATTGTTTTTGCTCAGCTCATTCTCAGGGAGAGTGACTACAGGAGGTGGGATTGCTGTGGTCATCTTGGAGGCTGCCCTCCATTGGTACTAAACAATGAATGAAAGCTGTGAGCACATGGATTAGGCTTCACTGAAGGGTGATTCAGCAGGGCCATTTAGCTGAGGGAACCTCCTATGTCAAAGCCTAGGTATTTTCTTTTTGGGCTAATCAAATTTCCCAGAAAAAAAAAATTCTGTTCTCCAGTAGAGTGAAAGTTGGACTGCCATGCCTGGCTGGCATGGCTCAGTGGGTGAGCATTAGCTTATTAACCAGGAAGTCACTGTTTGATTCCTGGTCAGGGCACATGCCTGCTTTTCAGGCTCCATCTCCAGTGTAGAGCATGCAGGAGGCAGCCAATCAATGATTCTCTCTAATCATTGATGTTTTTATTTCTCTCTCTCTTCCTCTCCCTTCCTCTCTGAAATCAATAAAAGAATATTTTTTAAAAAAAAGAATTAGAGCCAAAACTGATTTGGCTCTGTGGATAGAGCATCGGTCTGCGAACTGAAAGATCCCAGGTTCAATTCTGGTCAAGGACATGTACCTTGGTTGTGGGCACATCCCCAGTAGGGGATGTGCAGGGGGCAACTGATAGATGTTTCTCTCTCATCCATGTTTTTAGCTCTCTATCCCTCTCCCTTCCTCTCTGTAAAAAAATCATATATATATATATATATATATATATATATATATATATATACACACACACACATACACACACACACACACACACACACACACACATTTTTTATTTATTTTTATTTATTTTTTTAATTTGAACTGCCAGAAATTTAAAAGCCAGATAGAAAAGAGAGCTGGGATAGAGGTTGGGGCGTCTTAAGATCTAACATTCCTTTAATCTCTTATTTATATCACTAGAGGCCCCATGCACGAAGATTTGTGCAAGAATGGGCCTTCCTTCCCCTGGTTGCCAGCACTGCCTTCACTCTGGCTGGAGCTGCTTTTTTGATCTGGCCCAGAGCTGCCTTTCTGCCTTCCCATGCTGCCCAGAGGCCTGGAGCAGCTGGGGCAGTGCAGAAGGCCTGAGTCATTACCATGGCAATGATGCAAACGTCCCACCCTGCCCCCAGCTGCTCAGCGCCTGTGAATGCAAAGTAACATGTCATATTTGTTGGTTAATTTGTATATTCACTCCTGATTGGCTGGTGGGTATCATGAAGGTACAGTCAATTTGCATCTTACTCTTTTATTAGTATAGATGTTGCTCCCTCTTCCAACTGTGCCTGATATATCACATTCCAAAGACCTTGTGTGTTTTCCTTTCTAAAGAATAAAACTCCAGTCTTCCCCTGGGTGAAGGGCAGTTGCTTCACGTCAGGAAATTGGGGAAGAGATCTGGGGTTTCTTTTCAAATAAATTTTCAACCAATCTTCCTAATGTTAACTTGCCTTTCACCCTCATTTTCCAGAAGAGCTTGTTGCCTAAAAAACTTTATGTGCATCCTGCAGTAGAAAGTTGGTTGAATCTTGGCTTTTTCCACTGCTGGCATAAGATTGAACTTTCATAGGTCTGCCAAGTCAGTTACCAGTTATCATTCTTTCATCTGCTTTCCAACTCCCAAAATATTGGTATCTTATTATTATTTGTTAACTTATGTGTTTATTGTTTGTATTCCTCTCTTGAATGTGGCTTCCAAGATAACATGTTTATTTTGTTCACCCAGAATAATTCAACAAGTGACTGACTCTATTTTCTGGCAAAGGAAACTTGCTACTCACTATCAACACATTGGTGGCAGATTCAGGTCTCCTGAGTTTCCATCCAGTACCTCTCCTTCCACAGCATGGGTGGATTTTGCTAACTAATGATGCCTAACAAGTTATAAAGTAATTTACATGTTACAAAGTGGTTTTAGGATCTTATCTCATTTGATCTTGACAACAGCCCGTGGGCCAGGTAGAAAAATAATTATTAGTGGCCAACTCTTACCAAGAACTGTCCTGTGCTAAGAGAATCATCAACCTTGTTCCTGGCCTTGCATCGCAGGCCACTGCCGTTTGTTTTGCCCCTCCCATCACTTCCTCTGCAAATGGGACTTTTAAGTCTTGTCATTTCTCAAAGAAATAGTCCTCAAGAATCCAAGACCAGCTCTCTCATAAAGAGGAAAATAGATACAGACATGGGTGAGTAATACAAGAGCCTTTGAGCAAAGAGAATGTCTAAGTTTTGTATGGTGGGAGAAGAGTGGGATTGTCCAAATCAGTATAACAGAGAGAAGAGGTTGGTGTTGGAAGGGGGTTTAGATCCTGGAAGGAGAGGGAATAGTCCCAGAACTGAAGAGTAGTTTGTGGATAGGGGGAGAGTGGCAGGATGAAAATAAGCACATACCATAATCAGTAGACTCTCAAAAAAAGAAAAGTGATAATCTTATATAAGAAGTCTAATATGCAAATTGTCCTTTCATTGACCATCAGGGGGCAGACACTCCAACTGATAGGTTAGTTTGCTGCAGGTGCCGGTGGGCTGGACTGGAAAGTGAGGCGTGAGGTGAGAACCATCAGGAAGCTCCCAGAGTTTGCCAGAGCCCCGGGCAGAGGCTGGTGGAGCTACTAAGGTGATCTGAGAGCTGTGGACTGCATAGCCTTCCGCAGCCTGTGGCGTTCTCAGTATGCAATTTATAATATTCAGAGCTGCTTCTTTTCATTTGTGAGTTTCACAAACTACTCCAGGAGAGTGGGCAGCACCACTACAGGGGGACGGGCCAGGTGCACCTGCCTGAGGCCAAGGGGCACCCTAGGGCTCCTGGGGACCCAAAAGAGGGGTGGGGGTGCTGAATCAGAGAAACCGAGTCAAAAACTTGAAAGGAGGTGGGAGACAGTGAGGGGTGGGGGTGACAGCTGCTCAGGGGCCTAGAAAAACTGTTGGGTGGGGGCAGCTGAGGAGCCCGGTGCCTCTCCCACGGGACAAGCTCCACGTTTCTCCTTCCTCCTCCCTGTGATCTGTCACCCCAGCTCTTCTCCAAGGCCAGCCTGGCCTTCCCCATACCCCACTCTGCCCCACCCCACCCCACACAGCCTTTGGGGAGCTCCGCCCCAGAGGAGAAAAGAAAAGGCTGCAGACAGGAGGTTACAGAAGGAGAGGAAGAGCAGGGCCCACCAAGTTAGATGAAGGGGAGGGAGGGAGAAACCCCACAGGACTGGGGACAGAGATGGGCAGGGAAGAAGGGCCATGCAGAAGCATAGCCCTTGGTTAAAGTAAAAATCCTGACCCCATTTACAGACCCCAGCAGAGTGTGTTGGGGGGACACTGAGGGGAGGAGGGGCAAAGACAAAAGAGGGTGTGAGGGGATTGGATGGATGAAGAACAGTGATGTTTGATTCCTGGTCTATTTATTTTTATTTTTGTTAATATATTTTTATTAATTTCAGAGAGGAAGGCACAAGGAGAGAGAGATATATAAACATCAATGATGGCTGAAACCAGTTTTGCTCAGTGGATAGAGCGTCAGCCTGCGGACTGAAGGGTCCAGGGTTTGATTCCAGTCAAGGGCATGTACCTTGGTTGTGGGCACATCCCCAGTGGGGGACGTGCAAGAGGCAGCTGATCGATGACTCTCTCTCATTGATGTTTCTAACTCTCTATTTCTCTCCCTTCCTCTCTGTAAAAAATCAATAAAATATATTTAAAACAAACAAACAAAAAATCAATGATGTCAGAGAATCTATCTGCTGCCTCCCACACACACCCTACTGGGGATTGAGCCCGCAACCCAGAAATGTGCCCTTGAGCAGAATCAAACCCAGGACCACCCTGCAGGCTGTGACTTTATCCACTGAGCCAAACCACCTAGGGTGAACCATGGCCTATTTAAAACCACTGCAATAGGCTGAGCAGGGGTCCTACCATGATGGTGTTACCTGATAACGAGGGTGTCTCTCCTTATGTTGGGGTAATTGGAACTGCAGAGAAGTAAAGACACACCCATGGAGCCTGCAAAGGTTTTCCATGCATATGATGCAATTTATTATACTTGATGTGGCAGCTAAAGAGGGTGAGCAGAGCCTTGGAAGGACATGAGATGTCCAAGAGCAGGGGCTGGAAGGAAAGTGAATGCAGAGCATTCTGCACCGGGAGTTACCATCTATATATATTAAAACCTAATATGCTAAGTAGCTGGCTGAGCGGTCAACTGACTGGTCGCTATGGTGTGCATTGACTACCAGAGGCAGATGCTCTAACTGATAGGTTAGCTTAGGGCTGGGGTCTGGGGACTGTGGGAGTCAGGGCCAGACACACCCTGGAGCCCTCCCATGGTTCTTCCCCAACTATTGGCCCCAGTTGGCCCCTGGGTAAATGGCCCTGATCAGCCCTAATTGCCAGTCAGGTGGAGGACCCCATCTGTGCACAAATTTCATGCACTGGGCCTCTAGTATAATCATAAAGCCAGTTACAAAATACTCTAGACAGTAGTTTCTATAAAACAATGACATCAAGATCTTAGGATCTAAGATTAGCTTGGTCTAAATTCTGCCTGAAGTCCCACCAGTGAAAAGTAAAAACACTGTACTAGGTGTACCAGTTAATAATGCGAATTTTTTTCAATAGATGGAGTTACACATATGTTGATATATTTGCGATTTGATATGTTTGCTATTTTGTTGTATTAACAGCAAAACTTCATATGTCAAATTTGCTGAAGGTGTTAGCATAGATATTTTTACGCTTAAAATGTCAAATTCTGTGCCCAAAAAAAGAGCATTTGCAGGAATTTTTAATTCATTACTTTATTTTGAAGAAAAAGTTATTGTATACTTCAGGAAGCTTATGGTGAACATGTTTCATCTCAAGACACTTATGGTCACTGGTTTAAACACTTTAAAAGTGATGATTTCAATGTGAAAGACAAAGAATGTCCAGGTCAACCGAAAAAGTTTGAAGACCAACAATTAGAAGCATTATTGGATGAAGATGACCGCAATCTCAAAAAGCAACTTGCAGGAAGATTAAACATTGCTCAACAAACAATTTCTCATCATTTACAAACAGTGGAAAAGATTTTAAAAGAAGGAAAATGGATGTCACATCAACTGAACGAAAGACAAATGGAAAAACAAAAAGTCAAAAAACAAAAATAAAATGTTGCTTCAATGGAATGAAAGAAAGTCTTTTTTGCATTGAACTGTGACTGATGATGAAAAGTGGATTTATTTTGAGAATCCCAAATGCACAAAATCATGGGTTGGTCCAGGTCAACCATCAACATTGACTACAAGGCTAAATCACTTCAGAAAGAAGACAGTGCTCTGCATTTGGTGGGATCAGTAAGGTATGGTGTATTATGAGCTTCTAAAACCAGGTGAAACCTTTAATACTGATTACTACTGACAACAAATGATCATTGTGAACCACGCTTTGATCCTGAAATGACCAGAATGTGCCAGAAGACACAGCAAAGTAATTTTGCTTCATGGTGACACACCAACACACACTTCAAAACCAGTTAAAGACAAAAGATCTTGCCTGGGAAGTATTAACCCACCTGCCGTATTCACCAGACCTTGCTCCTTCGGATTACTATTTGTTTCCATTGGTGGCTCACGTACTTTCTGAGCAGCACTTTAAAACATACAAAGAAGTGGAAATTTTGGTTTCTGAACGGTTTGCCTCAAAACAAGAAAAGTTCTATTGGGACGGTATCCACAAATTACCTGAAATATGGGGGAAATGTGTAGCTAGTGATGGACATTACTTTGAATAAAGCACTTTTGATGTTTCCCTTGATTTATCATGTTTTCTTTGATTATAAAATCTATCATTATTAACCGGTACGCCTAGTACATGGTCCCCTTGAGGAAAACAAGATGCGACCTCAGAAATCACACCAAGTCCCAAGAGCAGAGGTCACAAAGATAAATAAAGAAATAAATACATACATACATACATACATACATACATACATACATACAAAGGCTATAATGTGCATCCATGTTTTTTCTTGTTACTTGCTGTGCTCTCTTGGAATCTGCCTGCCACCTGGTGGATAAATGAGGTTATTGCCTGCATCCAAAGCCTGGGAGACCCAGGCACTGCAGAGGCTAAGGCTGTATTCACATGCAGCCAGGAATCTCAAAAGCAGAAACTTAAAGACAAGGAATTGGCAAGGGATCCACCTCCTTAAGCTTGCATCAAATAAAGATGAATCTTGATGTGGAAAGAGACTCAAGACATCTTACTAAGCTACAAAAACAGCTGCAGAAGAGCATAAGAGAAAACAATATTGTCCATAATGTAAAAATAAGTATATAATAATCTATAATAATAAAATTGTAATTGCTAATTAGACCAGATGACATTCTGGAGGAAGCCAGGGCTTCGAGGGAAGCCTGGGTCCCAGGTGCCGGAGGGAAGCCGGTGATGGCAGCTGGGGGAAGGAAGGCCTACTTTTGCATGAATTTCATATATCTAGCCTCTGGTAATAATAATAATAATAATAATAATAATAATAATAATAATAGCACTAAGTGTCCTGAGCTCTTCGACATGTGGGCACAGTGCTAAGCCCTCATTCATGCACTCTCTCTACTTTTACTTAAAAAAAAAAATCTTTATTGTTGAAAGTATTATGTTCCCCTTCCCACCACCACCCCAACCCCGCCCATTGACCTCTTCTAGACCCCCACCCCAGGCCTTCACCACCCTATCGTCTGTGTCCATTGGGTTATGAATACAAGTTCTTTAGTTGATCTCTTCCCACACTCCCCATCCTCCCCCACCTACCCTCTGAGATTCCATAGCCTGTTCCATGCTTCTATATCTCTGGATCTATTCTGTTCATCCATTTATTTTGTTCATTAGATTCTACATATAAGTGAGATTATGCGATAGTTATCTTTCTCTGACTGGCTTATTTTGCTTAGTGTAATACTCTCCAGGTACCTCCATGCTGTCTCAAATACTAAGAGATCCTTCTTTTTACTGTCTCATAAGTATTCCATGGTGTAAATGTACCACAGCTTTTTTATCCACTCATATATTGATGGGCATTTGGGCTGTTTCCAGAACATAGCTATTGTAAATTGTGTTGCTATGAACATAAGGGTGCATACATTCTTTCTGATTGGTGTTTCTGATTTTTTAGGATATATTCCTAAAAGTGGGATCACTGGGTCAATTGGCAGTTCCATATTTACTTTTTTGAGGAAACTCCATACTGTTTTCCTTAATGGCTGCACCAGTCTGCATTCCTACCAGCAGTGCACTAGGGTTCCCTTTTCTCCACATCCTCTCCAGCATTTGTCATTTGTTGATTTGTTGATTGTAGCCATTCTGACAGGTGTGAGGTGATACCTCATTGTCCTTTAATTTGTATCTCTGATAATCAGTGACTTTGAGCATTTTTTCATATGTGTCTTGCCTGCCACCTGGTGTGAATGTCCACTTTGGAGAAGTGTTTATTTAGGTCCTTTGCCCATTTTTTAATTGGATTGTTTGTCTTCCTTTTGTTAAGTTGTATGAGTTCCTTATATATTTTGAATATTAACTCTTTATCAGATGTATCATTGCCAAATATGTTCTCCCATATTGGTTTTGGGCTCCCTTTTGGTTTTGTTGAGGGTTTCTTTTGCTGTGTGGAACCTTTTTATTTTTATATAGTCCCATTTGTTTATTTTCTTCTTTGTTTCCTTTGTCCTAGGAGATGTATCCGCAAACATATTGCTATGAGATATATCTGAGATTTGCAGTCATGGCTTCCTCTAGAATTTTTATGATTTCATTTCTTATATTTAAGTCTTTTACCCATTTTGAGTATATTCTTGTGTATGGTGTCATTTGGTCTAGTTTCAATTATTTGCATGTATTTGTCCAATTTTCCCAACACCATTTATTGAAGATCCTGTCTTAACTCCATTGTATGTTCTTGCCTTATTTGTCAAATATTGAGTGTAATGTCTTAGGTCAATTTCTGGAGTCTCTGTTCTGTTCCATTGATATATACACCTGTTCTTGTGTCAGTACCAGGCTGTTTTAATATCTGATATTGAGATCCCTTCAACTTTGATCTTTTTCCTCAAGATTGCTGTGGCTATTCAGAATCTTTTTTGGTTCCATATAAATTTTTGGAGTATTTGTTATAGACCTTTGAAATATGCTATTGGTATTTTCATAAGAATTGTATTGAATCTGTAGCTTGCTTTGAGTAGTATGGACATTTTAATGGTGTTAATTCTACCAATCCATGATCACAGTATAATAGTATTCTTCCACATGTTCATATCTTCTTCTATCACTTTGTTCAATGTCCTGTAGTTTTCTGAGTACAAGTCTTTTACCTCCTTAAGTTTATTCCTAAGTATCTTAATTTCTTAGTTGCAGTTGTAAATGGGATTGTTTGTTTAGTTTCTCTTTCTTAGAATTCATTTTTGGTGTATAAAAATGCCATTGATTTTTGTATGTTAATTTTGTATCATGTTACATTGCTGAATTCATTTATTAAATCTAGTAGTTTTTTTTGGTGGGATCTTTAGGGTTATCTATGTACAATATCATCTCATCTGCGAATAATGAGAGTTTTACCTCCTCCTTTCAATTTGGAAGCCTTTTATTTTTTATACTTATCTGATTGCTGTGGCTAGGACTTCCAGTACTATCTGTACTAATAAAAGCCTAAGTTGTCCTCGTACTGCCACAAAATGGCTGCCACAAAGATGGCCACTACAAAGATGGCCACCACAAGATGGCCACTACAAGATGACCTCATGCACAGCAGAGGGGGGGCCTGGACACCACTCTGAGCTGTGAGGCCTGAGGGTCCCATGGCTCCGTGCAGCACAGAGATGCTGAATCCTGGCAGAGGAGGTGGGTTACAGCAGGGGGGGGGGGCAGTTGAGGGCAATCAGGCTGGCAGGGAAGGGCAGTTGTGAGTGATCAGGCCAGCAGAGGAGGACAGTTAGGGGCATTCAAGAAGAGTGGTTAGGCATCAATCAAACTGACAGGGGAGGAGTTAGGAGGTGATCAGGC